CTTGGGTTTTGTAAACGGCAGGAACAAGACACAGAGTTATCTACCCAGGTAAGATCATTTGAGTCCAAAGACCAGATTCCAAAACAGGCCTCAGATACCGTAGAGGACATGGCCTGTTTGGGACAGCCTGAAGGCAGAAGGGGTGGGTGTATTCTGTTGTAGGGCTTTTAAAGGAGACTTTTTGGATCAGAATTTATCCTTTTTTTTTTTTAATCTTTGGAAGCGAGTGAATCTTCATAGCAGGTTATTCTCTCGAAACGAGATTGGGTCCGAACTATGAGGACAGGCGTCACGGAAAAAAAGTGTTTCCATTGCACTGTGTTGTGTCCTGGCCACACACCTCCAACACACACGCACACGCACATACACACACACGCCCTCAGAGATGACCCTACAGCTTCTGGTCTTCCAGCTTCAGCTGTCCCAAAGGACCCCGAGCACTATGGGTTCAGGCCAGGGCTTGGGTTTGGTGAAGGTTGTTAGTGCCCCCAAGGGCAGAGGACTGAACTCAGAGCAAGCATGGGGCAACAGAAAGCTGTTCTCTGGTCCGTGAGGGTGGTGAGCGATGCCTTCAGATCCTGTCCGCAGGTCGCTTGGTGTGTCTGTAGTTAGCATTGCGCTTATAATGGAAATAACTGATCTGACACTCACGTAGCTAAATATAATTCGCACTTTTGATGTAAGGTTGAAACATGAAAGATCATGCTTTTCAAACTGCTCTGGTGACTTATGTACAATTCATTTTAGGTAGTGGGGAGTTAAGCCTGCCGGCATCTGAACATTCTTCAGTCATTTGTTGAAACACCTGCAGTTGGATGCTAATACGCATGTTTAATTGCTTGAATTTAAATTATAAAATCCCTAAAAGGATGTTTTTATCCTAGAAAATAAGGCAGGTCCCTTGAAAAGACTATCAGCCAGCTTTCAGGAGCACCTTGCCTTTCCCAAGACTTACGTGCTGGCCTTTCTCACGAGAAATCTGCCCTGAAATACAGGAAGTTTAGCTCTTCAGGGAAGGCACAGATGTCTGAGCCATCAGCAAAATCACTGTTAGCATTCCCTGGGAAGTCTGTCATGTGAGAATCAAGTTTAATTCAGGAGCCTGTAGTTTATCCGGGATTCTTGAAGACAGTGATTGGCACCAGTCAAAGGTCTGCTTTACCAGCCCAGAGACTGCCTTTATTTTTAAACCCCAGTCATTCACCTCTGCTCATACTGACACTCTGCAGCCACAGAAGATACCAGAATGAGATTACAAGAGCTCCGCAACAGAACAGGGTGCTCTTGGCTCGCGCCTTGTTGTTTGTCCTTCCAGTGGTTCCTATCTGTTGTGACGTCAAGGCTGCCATTCAAAGCAGGGAAAAAGGAAACCACGGCCTCTCTTCGCATCAGTAGCCCGGACGGGCCGTTGTTTCTCAGGCATCCCCAAAATGCTCCACGTCTGGCAGAGCTGAGCATTCCATGCCTGGGTGACCTGGATAAATGGAGGAAACCGAATGCTCCTCACTGAATGCTCTCCAAAGCGAGCGTCCCCCACCCCTCCGAGGACTGTAAATGAATCGACAGCGTCGCCCGACATCATCCGCTTTTGCATATTCAGCTTCTATTTAAGAGTCTACGAAGAGAGAATGTCATTATCAGTGGCCCTCATTAATATACGCTGCAGCCACATCATTATGCTGCCTTCGGGGTCAGTGCTACAAACCCCTTTCTGGAAAACCAGTGCCGTGTTAAAAATCTTTTGGAATCATAGTCAGACATTCAAAACCGCTGAATTGCCACCTCTTCCTTCTCATCTCACCTCTGCTCACCCCATTCCCATTTCTGATTCCTGAATCCAGAAAGGCTCTTGCAGATACTTAAATAGTAATTTTGCACTGAGCATTACTGAGCGTGACGATCCTTTTCATGCATATGAAAAAGAATCTCAACAATAATGTGTAGATCACAGGCTCTGGATTTTTCTGAATAAAGAGTGACACCTTTTGCTTTTCAAAGGCGAGGAGCTAGTTTACAGTGTCACAGAACCGCTGTCTATTGGGAACAAGCCAAGATCCATACAGAAAACAAGTCTTGCAAGGCTGAAAGCTCACTGAATGTTCCGATAACTTACGGTGAATGCCTCAGCATTTACGGACTTGAGACTCAGTCTCCCGAGGGCACGCCTTCTTGGGTTTCGTTCTGGCATGGGTGACTGCATCATTTTATTAGACTGTTGGAGATGGACATGAAAGTCACCAGAAGCAGCACAACAACCACACGTTGTATTCTAGAGTTGTCTTGGTTAAGTCAATACGCATTCGAAGTTTTATGTTACAGATTCTATTAAATCTTTTCTCAAAATAGCCCTTCTCTGAACCTTTGATCGAGGGATATACAGAAACCCAAACCATTTGATTTTATACGCAAATGTCTATATACATTTTATGTCAGGAAGGATCTTGATACAGTGGGGCCTTTTTAAAGTGAATTATTATAAGACAGAATTCTTCCAGATTATAAACTCTTGTCTTCTGGAGAAAAATCATAGAGATCTTGAGGTAACTGGATAAAGAGGGACTGGATGGAATGAATCTTGTAAAGTTAGGATTTATACTGAAAGTTTCCTGGTTTGGCCAAGACAAGCCGACTTGCCCAAGGGCTGGCTTGATGCCATATGATTGCCTTATCTCTGCACCATAAATGCAGTGGTGGGAACGGGGCATGGAGCTGATGCGTGTGGCTTCTTCATGGGTGCTTTGGACTAGGTAAGCCTGAGAATCTTGAAATAAGAGGAAAACAGGACCTTACTTGCTGTCTGTGGACTGGAGAATTAGTCTTTTGTGGTTGTCGACTGCTACTTGCATATCAGTTATCCTTTTATTCTTCGTTTTGACATTACTGCCATCTCTGGGGGTCCATAGTATCCTAGAAAACCGTTTTAAGAGAATCGACTTAAAACTGAATCAGACATTTAAAACAAACAGTCACGTTTTTTAAAAAAGATTTTATTGGGACTGCTATTGGGAAGAGTTAAAGTTGAATCTAAGATTGTTTTACATTCTATAACAAATTTGGGATATGATGCAACAATATGTTATTTCTTAGAACAAAGATTGCATGTTGACTTCTGCGGTAGAACCATAAAGAGGGTGATTTTTTTTGTATAAGCATTCAGATTTTTGCCAAAGGCCTCTCTTAACCTTTCGGTATACAAACCGTTCTCTCGAAGAGTCTACCTCTCATGTAAAATCATCTCTGTTGACTTTTCCTTCCTCATTTGTTAACTGTTCAAACTCTCTCTGATCCTTACTTGTCAGTGACAGTGGGCGTGACTCAGGCAGTTCTCCGCTGTCACTGTTATCCATGTAAACCCTACAGTTTCACATAACAGGTGAAGTACATTGTATTTGCATTTATATTCCACGATGCAAACCAACCAAGAAAGTGAGCGGGAATAGATGTTGATGTTAATGTGGGCTAGACATTAAGTGATCATTTTATTTTTCAGGGTTTTTACATTATGATATGTCTCATGCTTTCTTATGCAGCCTACAAACTACAGGGACTCATAGAACGATCACTCAAGAAATTAGGGACTCCCCCCCCCCATATCGTGTTACATTTAAAGCACTCAGTATGGCTCGGGTGGGCTTTATAATCAACCACATGCAGATTTGTGTGCCATTCCTGGCACTTACCTAGGTAATAAAACCTTGGGTGAGTTATTCACAGAACCTCATATTCTTTATCTGTAGTGTGGAGTAATAAAACCAAGTTGTGGAGTGATCATGGGGGTTAGAGCCCAGGCATATAAAACTCCTGGATAAGACACAGAGCGTGCAGCTCGAGAAATGATCTCTGTTAAGGTTGCTGTTGCATTTATGCGACGCCTTCCGTTTTAGATGAGACTTTCACATTTAATTCAGCCCCAAGAACTTAAATTTTAGCAGAGTCACTGAAAATTTTTAAGGTATGCAGCGACCTGAGGAAACCATATTTTAGAAGATTGTATTTGGTGACTGCGTACGTCGCGGAGTAGGTGATATGACTTGGTAGCTGTTTTTTTTCATGCTACAGATGAAAACAGCTGAGACCCGAGAGAATTATCTAAATTTCTCGGGATTATGTGGTTTGTATCTGGCAGAGCCGAACGCAGAACCCAATCTTCCTATTCTTAACTGTGTTTTTCCACCACACAGTTGCTCCTTGGCAAGTGAACCAGTTAAAAAGGTTGTCATATTCGTCTGGGAACAAAGTGATAAAGGTCCGGCATGTTTATTGGAAGCAGGACTCAGAGGGTAAGGACAAAGGCAGCAGTCAACTGAAAACAGTGCCGTTTAGACTTGGTGACAATTGACCCAGCTCTGCTCCGTGAGAAAGGGAGTCAAGAGTCTAGACTTTCAAGCTTGGTCGAATGGCCGTACAGTTAATTAAACTTATAAGTAGAATGCGTTGGTTTTCTTGTTTCCTAATGAGTTTAAACAATTGCCCTGTCCTGATGGAAATGTGAATAATGGTAGGAGAACAAATGTCTTTGTTACGGGAAGAGATGCCAGAGCCAAAGAAAGAAATTTTGAGACTCTTGTGCCAAAGAAGGAGCATTGAAACCACTGTAACGTACATAAGCATGTGCACGCGCATGTATGTGCTTTAAACTGGACTTTGCGGCAGACTCCCAGATTCAAGTCCCGAATTCAAGACTGAGCCATGTTGTTACTTGGTAACTTACTACCCAGTTATAATCACAAACTGTTTTACCTTTATCAGAAAGAAGAGCTATTCCCATAGATTCTTCTGTGCTTGTGTGTTTGTTTTATTGGATGGATCCTGCTGTGGCACCGAGAGACAGACTTTGCTGGGCCCTATTTTGTAAACAAATCTGTTCATACACACTTTCTTCTATCATCACATGTGTACATTGGCTCTGCTTTTCCCACTAGGCACATGGAAGCCTAGGAATTCAGAAGCTTGTTTTCTTTTAGGAGAAGGCAGGCACTACAGAAACGTGTGCACGTGCATTGAAAACGTACACATCTCCCTTATGTAAGTTTTTGAATCTTCATGATTCTAACCCTTGGCCATGAGCTCTGTAAGTACGTTGCAGCTAAGTACACACACAGTACCCCTGGGAGGCATCCTTAAAGCCACCACAAAGCTATCGATTGAGCTCAGTAAATATAAAGCAACCTATTTTTACCCTTTAAAGTTCATTCTTTTGGCCACTAGTGGGGTTAGTCGCCTAAGATGCTAAAGCATAATTAACTGGTTTTTATAAGAAGAGATGGTTCATCTCTTTCTTAGATTAGATTATGAAGTTAAAATAATACATACCTGGAGTTTTCTGCATATTTTGTTTAATATTTCAGTCAAGTTTAAGTTTCTATGACAGGAAGTATGTGAATGGTTATGACAGGAGTAAATAACATTTGATTTTATGATTATAGTACAGGAAGTAATTTTTCACACTAAATAAAGCTTTGGGGGTAAAAAAAGAGCCGGCTTATAAATTTAATGTACATAAATTTCCCAGAATTTCTGTTCTCTTACGTGGAAATAAAACCAGGATATGATCTTATTTCTTTCTCTTCTGAATTTTTCTTGTCAACAAATGTCTTTGTTACGGGAAGAGATATTTTCGGGTGTTTTGGTGTGACCCAACATGATAATGGAACCACTAAAAAAATTCTAAGCAAAAATAATAAGGCCAAACTTTATAGAATAAATAGCACGAAAAGCTTGAAGACCCTAAATAGGAGCTTACTTTTTCCTTGAACAGTAAAATGGCCACATCATTTACCCCCAGGTTCTAGTTATTCCTGTAGCCATGTTCAGTCAGCACGTGGGTGTCAGCTATTCTTTAATGAAAAGAAACGAACGAACGAAAATAAAAAGCGCCCAGGAAAGACAAGATGTTTAATGTCAAAGAGTTTTCATACAAGCAAGTTCAAAGACAAAACGAATTGCATAGAACTTCAGTTACGTTTATCATATGCAGAACTTTAATAGGAGCTTTGTTGTTCCCTGACTTAAAAAAAAAAGTTATAGAAGAAAAGACTTTTTTCCTTCTTCTTTCTGTTTTCTTAAAGTTGGAGGAACTTGTAGTGGGAAGAAGAATGTGTAACAGTCACTCATTTCTGAGGACTAATATTACACATCCATGTGTCACGTGAATGAGTGGGTGTCCGACAGTCAGATTAAAATGCCTGAGAAGCGTTTCGCAGTTTGGGGTGCATTGGCAGCGGCCACAGGGCTGTGAGGCAGTGGTTAGGCGTTGTGCTGGGAGCTGTAGGATGGAGGTTCAAATTTAACTCTAGAGTGACCGTGAGCCGCACTTAATTAACCCCACTGACTGAAAACAAGATCTCTAAATACCTCTAAATCTCAGCATCACAGATTTGCAAAGAAGCATTGTGCCCAGGGTGTGAAGCTGTTCCCGGAGAACAAACTAACACGTTAGAGTGACCTGTACTTACTTACTTTCCATTAATTTTCTCTCAATTCCGCGTACCGTTTTGCTAAACATGCACCTCAGCCTGATGTGACACGGACGTGCTGTCGGAAGGCTCCGGAGCTGAATGGTCAAAGTTAGGGTCCCCGGTTTGTCTCTTGGCTCCATCATCTACTGGTTGTGTGACCTTGGTCGAATCCTTAAATTCCAGGGGCTCAGTTTCCTTATCTGTAGGATGGGATAGTAGTAGAATTTAGCTTGTAAGTTTGCTGCGAGAATTAAATAGGCAGGTATATGTATGGCGCTTGGTGGTGCCTCAGCTGCCCTGCAGGTCAGTTTGCTGTTATCACTGTCGATTAAACTGGCTTAACAAGGTTGAGCGATGTTCACCAGAGCAAAGTGTAGCCAGAGGAAGAGTCATAATTCGAACACAAGGCCTTCTGACTTCCCATGGTCTTCTCGTGTCAAGGCCACTCCCGCTCCCGTCTATAAAAGTGCCTCTGAAGAGCACACTCCTTTTTACCGTTTGAAAGAAAACTTTGAGTAAACAAACATCAGGAACATTTGTGGCGGGGTTTTTATTTTGTTGCAGTGGAGGTGGGGACCGCGCGGCCCCAGAGTTCTGGAAAGCAAATGCCGATTCTGTGAACTTGGCCTTGAATGATGTCCACAGCATAGCAAATTACAGCAAGATCTGAATAGTCTTCATAGTTTAATCACATTCTCAATACCCTACCTTAGGAGTTGCCCCTCTTAGCCCCTAAATTAAGAAGAATTCCTGAAGGGCAGCCGCTTCTTGGCCACGGACGGCCATAACCACGCCCATGACCACGCCCATTGGGTTGATGTTCTCTGTCCACTCCCCCACTCCAGGCACGTGTTCTGTGATCTTTATTCCCTTGCTCAGCTTCTCCTTTCTCTTTTCAAAACCTCTGCATCGGCCACCCAGCACTCGAAGAAGAACTTTCCCGTAAAGCAGGGTCTGAAAGGGAACTAACTGCACAAAGCTCTGGAAGCTTCAAGCCCGTGTATGAACATGACGCAGCGAGAGAAAGAAGTTTCCAATTCAGCAAGCGAGGAAGTGGGATGTTCTAATATTTGAGTAGTGACCCTCACTTTTTCTTTCACCAAACTCAGTATCGAGAGAATTGTTTTTAGTCATCGTTATTTAACACCGCTCTCTCTGTACAGGGTTCCTGTCCTTTTGACATTCTACAGAATGTCCTTTTCTCCGTTGAGGGAGGTTCGTAAGGTCTTGGGAGTGAGGGCAGAGGGATGGCTGCTGCGCAGAATGGTTGGTTTGAATGAAATTCTTCACACCAGTTATCGATGCTATTTTACTCATCCTCGGTTTGAAGATTCTATTCGCGTCATGCAAATGGTTTCCGTGCTTGTCTTTTTAAAATATGAGTTTGGTAAAGATTATGAAAACATATTGCATTAGCGAAAATTTCCTTGTGGCGTATAAAACAGATGGTTTTACTTTTTACGTATATGCGTCATATTTATCTTGAGTATTCGCAAATGGGAAATAGAAGAGTTGGGGTATAAATGGCAAAGTGTTACCATCTTAAAAATTAAGGGCTTCAAAGTGCAGTGTAACAAACATGGATATGCATTCATTTTATTTGGTTTTATTCTTCGGTTCCCAGTAAGTGGAAGCTCTGGTGTTTTCCTCCTTCCTTCCTGAGCTCCCCACCATTCCTACCCAACGTGGAAGCACAGGAGCAGCCCTAAAATAAAAGACAGACCTTTTGAAAGCTCTTACCAAAATGTCTACTAGTCCCTTCAGAAAAAATGATCTGTGGCACCACTGTATACTCTTCAAGGTGAGATAAAAACTCATACTCGTTTTGCCCAGTTGTCAAGAAATTCTACTCTTCTCCGATGTAAATGTTCGGATTCCATTAATGCCGTGAGAAATACGAAAGGTCGTATTTTAGCCCTTCTTGGCCAGTTTTCAAAGGGTGCTTCGGTGTGAAAGCCATGCGACCATCCGTTAACGTGACAGGGCCTTATCAAAAAGCGTTTTTCTGCACCCGTCACAGACAAATCTGAAGAAGTTCTTCTTCCAAACCCTGGGGATGCCACTCAGAGGCTGTGGCTTCGGTGTCTCGGTGCTCAGTGGGGAAGATGATTTCCATATTTAAAATTTGGGGACAAATGAGAATAACTCTCTTTGCCTTGAAGGGTTAATGCTCTCACCAGCTTCAGATTGGTTCACTCGAATCTTAAAATTACTTTTCTGGTCACGCGCACCGAAGGTCTAAGCATTTGTGAAATGTCTTTTTTTTTTCCCCTTTCTCCTGATGCTGTTCTCTTTTGGCTGTCTTAATTACACAGGGATTGAGAAACCAAATTAAAATTAGGTGTGGCTGGTAAACAGTGATCACGTTGCATGCTTTTAGCTTTGCCTGTTGGGGTTGCTTGTCCTCGCTGTGGTGCGTTCCTCCCCGCTTTTTTTTTTTTTTTTTCCAAAGGAAATATCATAAGCTCTTTTAGAAATACTCACAGGAAGTGAGTATCCATATGCTGGTTACTCGCCAGCGACTGAGCGCTGACAGGTGGAGAATGCTGCCACAGCCCTCCCAGATTTATCTGCACGTTTCCCCCCAGAGGATTAAATTCAGGGTGTATGGACCAAAGGGTATTTGTGTGTGTGTGTGTGTGTGTGTGTGTGTACTGAGTCCCCTACGAGAGGAAATTGGTCATTGTGTGTCATCTTGAGGCACGGTGATTCAAGGAGCTGCAATGGGGTCCGCAAGGCACGTGGCTGCCATCTCTGAGGGTTTTGCTCCCTTCTCAGAGAGCAGGCTGCCTTCTCAAAATTAATGCTCCCCCCACGGCCAACGATTCTTTTGCAATGAATCACTTCCAGAAATGAATAGCCACAGTTTTTTGGAATGAATATTGTGAAATCCCTCGTTTATAGTGGCAGGTTTTCAGTTGGTGGTTTTTATCAGAGAGAATTTCTCAAGATCAAAACGAAACCTCTTCTTTAAAAAGAAAGTACTCTCGATACAGAAAGCAAAAGTATTTCCAGCCTCCTACTGAAGAACTGTCACAGAAGATCTCCGTACCTAGATTTAGAGATACATGTCTGTATATCTGCCCGAATGAGTGAGTTCTTGGAATTATGGATTCGTTGCTGGTAGCTGGTGATTTCCTAGGCGGAAGGTCGCTAACTACAGGAAACGTTATATGCGGTGAGTAGGAGGCAGAATCCGAAGGTTATTGCTAAACCAGTGTTCGCCGTCCTGAATCGTGGGTCCAGAGGACTGTTAGGCTCTTAAATATCTCTGCTTTACATGACTTAGTGGATGGAACTGCAGGACCCACGCCTGGAAAGGGGTTTTCAGGACATGGATTAATTGAGTCTTTTGAATAGACTGGTCCTTTTGAGGAGGAAAGATTGTGTTACAAAAGGAAGCATTTTGTTGGGAGGGGTGGCTTTTAGAGGTACGGTTACGTCTATATTTATTTCGACTATCATTTTAGCCTCTTGCGAGAAAGAAAGAAATGGCTACATGGTCTCAAAAGAGAAAAAGTTATGCCACCTCTTTTTAAAGGAAGGAACTTCATCCACATGTTACTCGTAACTGGATTTTTTTTTTCCCACCTAAATCTTCACAAGGGGAAACTGTCCCGTGAAGAAGACTGACTTCCGGCAGTGCCTGCCGCGTGTCCCATTCAGAGCCTGGGGGCTCTCCCTGGACCCCTGACAGTGCTCCCATCCACGGGGCAAAGACGGAGGATGCAGTCACTGGAAACAGTGAGCGCAGCCTAAGTAACTGCTCTCTCTCCAGAGTGGAGAAGTCGTTTGACCTACTGACTCATTTCATAGGAATTGGGAAAACAACCTAGTGTGGTTTTCAGTGTTAGCCCCGAGGATTCCAAAATCTGTGTGTCTGCAAGTAAGATGAGCTGGAGGAAGGTGATGTTGCCACTTGCTGTTTCTACTTGCCTGTTCTCCTAATGAATTTAATCCCTTGCTTCCAGGACAAGTCTGGCCTGTGCTTGAGAGGGTCCTTTGTGTGACTGCTCGGTGGTGAGTATGGATGACAGCAATGTCTGATTTTCACTAGTTCTTGCTTCTAAATTTCTGTAAATGATAACCTTGTCAAAGAAAAGCTTTAAAGAGCATTTTTTTCCCACTCTGGTACATCTATACTACCTTTCATATTTACCTTTAGAAAATACTCTGGGTATGGGGATGATTATGAAAAATAACATTACTTGTAGGCAACAATGAATGTTAAGATATATTTTGGAAAAAAGGTATATTTTGATAGATTTTCACAGCATATTGATGAAAAGGTACTTTTGATTTTAACATTTATATTAAGTGATTTTTTGTAATGTTATTTAAAATACAGTATGGAAGATAACAGTGTGTTCCAGCAAAAATAATACAATTACAAATAGTTAATGGAAGGCATATACGTAGTATTTATATACTATGAAAATAATCAAAGAAACTTTTTTGATTCCTGATGTTTTGATTTTAAATCAGTGTTACCAAATATGCTAAAGGTATTAAAAGAGGACAAAGAAAGTCTATTGAACTTGAATAAAAGTAGGAACTGAGATATTTGAAGTGATTGATATTTAAAGTGTTAGGTTATTGCCTCTGTATAAGTTTATGTATACCGGATCCCCAGATCACACCCTCAAGTTATGTTCTTCATTAAGGCAAAAGACGCTTGATGTGTAGTGATTACGGGAGTACTCGTTCATCTTTGGAGATGGCTGAGTAGAAAGTTGGGTTGGTCAGCCCTGTGCTGTTTATTCAGTTTATTGTCTGATGTCCGAATGCCTTTGAGTCAGCATTCTTAACCTTTTCAGGGCAGTAGGCCCCGTGGGATGATGCTGGAAGGCATGCGTCCTTCTACCACACTCACACGCAAACACTTGCCTGCATTTTCAGGACGTTTTCTGTCCCAGCAAAGCTCATCTCTGGCCCCCAGGTTAAGGACGCCAGTCTAGAGCAAGACCTTACCTGATTCTGCCATTCTTTGGCATTCCAGTAAGAACTGTGATTTCAAAGAGGAGGCAGCCAAGTCAAAAAGGTCTGCTCTGTGGTTGCTGGGCGGGGGTGCAAAGCCTGAGACCAGGAAGAAGGGTGGAGAAAATACGTGACTAACATTAAATAAGTGAAGAGAATGGTTACCACCAGAACCTCCAAACAGATACCACAGAACCCCTAAACATTTAGCCGTGTGTATTTACAAAGTACATTGTGAAGTCCAGGAGAGACTTAAAGACTCAACATTACACAGTTGGGGAGAGTTTGCCTCATGTATAATGAAATCTCTTTTCTTTTCTTTTTTTCTTTACCATGTATGTTACCAAATTAGGTAGGACAGTAAATCATCAGAACTCCAGGAATATAATATATAACAATTGTAACAAACTGGAAAAGTGGTTCTACATTAGCAAAAGAAATTTGGTGGGCATAGATAGAAGATAGTTTCCTTGAGTAAAAAAAAAAAAAAAAAAAAAAAAACCATTAAATAAAAAGATAGTCCTTATTGTCCGCCCACGAAATTTAACTCAATACTGTAAGGCTGTTGTGGAAAAAAACAATAGACATGATTCTTCGGTGTGTCAAAAGGAATGTGACTTAAAAGTGTAAGAAAATAAGACCTGCATTAGTCAGACTGATTGTTGTGCCCAGTTTGAGTTACATTTGAAAAAAATTGTGAAGAGATGATACAGAAGTTACACACCCTTCTAGCAAAAGAAGGTTTTACTCTGAAAAAGGCTAAAGGATTTCTTGCTGATGGTCTTTAAGTAGTAACAGTCTGATTTATCTTTGTATTCCTGGACCTAACGTGCTGCCTTGCTTTCATTCAGTGGGTTGCAAGTACTTTAAATGACTGTCCTGTGTAGGGACCTTAGTGACACTTCAGCGAAAGGTGTGGCGGGAGTTAATAGATTCAGATAGAACCAGAGATATCATCAGGACATAAGGTGCATAATAAATATATATATATATTTGGCTGACTAATAGATAAGAAAGACTGTCTCGATTGCCCCGACGATAAAATAGATGAGTGGCTAGCCAAGGAAAGTTAGGAAGTCTTTGGTTGGGCTCTCTTTCAAGACAAGAATAAGTAATTCCACTTTAGATGGCAGAAACATTTATCGATTCATTCAGCAGACACCGAGGGCCTACTTTACCAGTTGCTTACAATCTGGTAGAGGAGGCAAAGGCACAAACCAGATTCACAGTGTATGATTACTGCTATGGTTGCATAAGGACACTTTGCTGGGGGACCTTACACAGTTAGCCTCCATCCTTGAGGCTTCGTGATGGAGGTGATGTCCTCACTGACCCTTAAAAGGAGAGCTTTCCAGAAGTTAGCTAGACAAGGGAGGCAAGCATTGCAGTGAGGGGTCCAGGCAAAAGGAGCAGCCTCTGCAGAGGCTCAGAGCTGTGCAGTACGGTGGAGGGTGCAGGGAAAGGAATAATAATGGGAGAAGATGAAGCTGGTGGGGTCAGTGGTCTAACGCGCCTCACACGTTTGCCTGAAGGTGCCTACCTAGGAAGGTAATGTGGCCAGGTGTCCACTTTGGAAAGATCCGAGCAATGAAGAGAATGAATTGAGGTGGAGCGGGGAGGCGACAGGTCAGGCCAGGCAAGGAGACCAGACAGAATGAAAGCTGCTCTAGTCCTCCAGTGTTGAGATGATGGGGACACCATTGGAAGTGGATTTCAAGAGCCATTCGTGGGGTAAAAAGGGAGAAAAAGTGATGTGAGGATAGTGGCGTAGGTTATTCAGCAGTATCAGTCACCGCAAAGCGACGTGCAAGAGGAAAAACTGGTTTGAGGGGAAGATAAGGTGGCATTGGGACGTGTCAGCGTGCATACAGGCCGAGTGAGCAGAGACGGGAGCGGCAGGGAGCGAGCGGGAAGGCGTGTGTATGGATTCGGACCTCGGGATTTAGATAAGTAGCAACAACTCAAAGCCATTTACCTTATTGGTGGTGTTGACGTGTGTGGAGACCTATTTCAAAGCAGTGAATCACTCTTGCCAAGTTTTTATGTGGTATTTAAAAATTTTTTCTAACTAATTTATAGCAACACTAAAAAAAGTATATAATATAAAGAACAAAGAAAAATTATTTCTGATCTCACCACCCAAAGCTCTGTTAATAATTGTGTGTATTTCCCTCAAGTATTCTTTTGCACACGAACTCACACATACACGCATGTAGTATATAGAATGAGCATGTTTCCACATAGGCATTTTTATATCCCACTTTTTAAATGAGCATTTTCTCCATGTGCTTAAAAATGCTTTAAAAACATTTTTAACGGTGCATTGTATTCTCTAATTTGGGAGTGTTTAGTGTATTTCCTTTTTTAAAAAGCATTTTTATATTACAATTATTATCCTTTTAAATGCATGTATCTTGGACATACTTTTAATGATTTCCTGAGGGTAGATTCTTTGCAGTGAATTCATTAAATCAAAGGAGCTTAACTTTTTAAAGATTCTTGACACTCTTTGCCAAATTGTTTTCTAGAAAACTTGTACCAAGTTACACACATCAAAGAAGTGTATGAAATGCCCATATCTTCATCAGTACTGAATATTATCTTTTTTTTAATCTTTAGACAAAAACCTTACATTATTTTTGGTTCATTTATTCAACGGCGATTTAATGACTTACCCACTCTGTGCCAGGCATGTGGCAGTTTTTAATTGCTGCTAGTAAAGTTTAGCTTTTTCATGTATTTATCCATTGTTTCCGTATGCATATGTTCAGTTCACGTTCATTATCAACGTTTCGACTGGGGCGTGACTGTTTCTGTAATCTGTTTGAGGTCTGTGTGTGTGCGCATGTGTGTGAATGAGATATTTGGGACAAGTATTTTTCTCAGCTGCTTTGATTTTTAATTTTGCTTATGATTTTTTTGAGCTACAGCACCTTTACATTTTATTTAGTCGAATAAATGATTTTTGTCTACTTTTTTCCCTTTGTGACTTCTGTTACCTTGACCTTAAGAATTCTTTTCCCACCAGAAGTCAGAAAATATTCTTCTAATTTTAAAAAATAATTTTTTTTATAGTAAACTCACAAAATTAGAAGTCAGATGTGAGGAAAAAAAATTTTTTTTCCCACCAAGTAAATCCCCCAACATTGTTCACTGAGTCATCTGTCTTTCCCCAGTTAATTTTTGGTGCTTTATTACCTTTTCCTGTTAGATCTAGCTGTAAGAATCCACGAATTTGGGGGCTATTAGGATGCCATAATACTTTTTTCAACACTTTATTATGAAACATCTCAAGCGTATAGCAAAATTGAAAGAATTTTTCTGTGAACACCACACATACGCCAGCTAGATTCTACAATTAATATTTTACCAGCTTTTTCCTTTATCTAGTCATGTGATAATTTTTAAACCGGAACCATTATTTGAACTCAAAAGTAGACTATCAAAGACATTTTCTCTAAGTCTATTTTTTTTCCCTCTGATTCGTAGGTTCGATTTCCAGGAAACTTTTAGCAGTTGATATGAGCATAGTAAGATAGTGAACATCATCATAAATACCAAGAGAAACTGCTCCCAAAATACGTTTTGGTCTTCTAAGTCTGTGAAGATGGTTTGATTTTTAAGGGTTATGATTGTTATTCACATACGATGCATTTGTTTTTCAAACATAAACCCCTATTAAGGGCTTTGTCCTCCGATACGGTACAGTTGCTTTTTGTTCTTCTGGCTGGAACTGGAGGGGACATTAAGAAGAGGGGTAGAGAGGCCACACGGGAGGCACGGGGATGCTGTGGGGGTCCCCGGTGGTGGGCCTTGTCAGAGCTAGCCCGGAAGGCTGCCTGGGCCACGCTGGCCTTTGAAAGAAGACTTCTGCTCGCATCAGGGCACTTTTCCAGGTGGCTGCCTTCACACTCCGCCACTGGAGCCCTTAGCACAAAGGTTGCTTTGCCCAGGGCGGCCTGCCACTCCAGACTGCCCCTGCTGATGTTGGTCATTGATTTTCCTTGGTTCACGGTGAGTGATCAGGTCACATAAACTTAGCT